GTCAGGGGTTAGGGCAACTACTTCTCAACCACTCAAATTACAACTTGACCTCGTCGCCTGTGCGTTCCGCGGACCCACCTGTAAAACCCCTATCACTACCGTTCCCCTGTGACAGGCGGCTGGGTTTTGTTTACCTTGGGCGCGGCTACAGAATCATGTCGGACCCGTGAGTGTATTTTGGATAATACAAAGTTCAGTCAGTAAACATCGTAGGGAGACCAGTAAATGTCCATGGAAGTCTTCTGTTTACGAAGTATTATTACCAGAAAAATGCCATGATGACAGCAGTTCGACAGTTCGTTGCCGACTATGTCCACCGTGTGATTCAGATGGTGACTTGCGTGTGAAGTAGTTTGTAGCGATATCGGACGCACACTCACCTCTACCATCACCTGGACCCGCTGTCATGACGAAGCCAAGAACTCCAGAAGCGGGAGAGGTTGCAGATGGCTGGCGCAACAGAGACCCGTACCTAGGTGTGCCACCCTATCCCCGGTACGGATCCCACCGAGTGGGAAAGCTATAGAGACCAAATAATGAAGGAGCCATTGGAGCCTGTCTATCTATCTGCCAGTGCGAGGTCCAAGTTATCCCTCCAATCGGAGGCATTCAAGCTCATGGCTTTTAACATACCGTGATAGATTCAAGTTCGTCAGGTGGTCTACAGTGCGGAATATGTGCTGTGACCGTCGAATTTAATGTCGCTTCCCATTCTCAGCCGGTCAGTGGACTGGTGTAGGGAATTGGCGCGGTGGCTGACATGGTCTAGTTGTCTTGTCTACGCGCGCCACACTCACGACCTGGCCCATCAAACACAAGCACCTGGATTTCACACAACGGGGGTTGGGCTGCGTACCTCTCACATGCGTGACAGTGCCGTAGGTCACATTAAGAAGACGCCGCTTCGGCCTGGCTCTCAGCTCACCTGTCCGCCACTCCACACATACAAGCCTGAGTACGTGGTCCGAGTTGAAGAGTCAGTCAGTAAACTTGTAGTGGCCCTACTCCCAACGCGTCTGTCACAATGCTGGGCCTCTCGCGAGTGTCTGCACGTGCGCACCAGGGCTGTCTAGCATTCGCTCACTTCAACTGACCAATCAGATTCAAGGCCGAGTCAAACCTGCCCAGGCTTGAGACGCTGTGACGCGCTCCCTGACGGACACCTGAGACGCCTCACTCGCGGCGTCGGACGTGCACTAGTCCGGCTGATAACTCTCTCCAACCCCTCTTCCAGTTATTCTGTACAGGATACATCATCCTCCCAACTGGCGACCACCTTCTCTTTCCATTTGGAACCGGGCCTGAAGGTCGTGGTAGCCAAGGTCTCGCTCTCGGCCTAGGCTGCTGCGACAACCTTTCGGGACACGGCTTTTGACGCACCAAAATATTCTCATTCGTTCTACCCTTTCCGGTGTACCAGTCCACTGTCCGTGGCAGTCAACAAATTGATTCTGAAAGTGAGAGGAATGGCTCAGAACTAGCCCGTCTGCGCGTGCCACACACAGGAAGTGGCCTGCCCAGATTTCACATACAGCAGAGGAACCATATGGAGAAGGAGTCAAATTTCGCACTTCTCACTTACGTGGGAGGTGCCTGCAATGTGTGGTATTGGGTGCTTGTGTGTGGTGCATTTGTTGGTGGGCGAATGTACGGTGATTTGGTCTAGTCTGCTGTGATTTACCGCAGATTCTTGTGGAGACGCATGTGACTGAGTAGGGCCATGCTATTGCTAAATGAGCGGAGGCAATGTGGGCAGTTGAAGCGATAATGGCGAGTGTGTTTTAGTCCTCTGGGTACTGGTTTACCAGTCTCTATGTGATGGACTCGCAAGTGACCCATCAGGCCGATGCGTGAAGTCGATGTGCGGTGGTAGCGTGAGCAACATAGGTTAGGTGATGCCGTGTCGGTTAGGATGGTTATGTTGCCAGTGGTGACCACGTTGGTGGATGTGGGATTGGTGGGTCTGGGGATAGGAGAGTCCTTGGTTGTGGAAGGTATGCTTGATGCATCGATATTGTGGCGAATTGTCGTGGATACCATGTGATCGGATCGGCCCATACGATCAGTGTATTTGGGGGCTTCTGGCACTGGTGCGTCGGTCGCAGTGCAATGGGTTCTCAAGTGACCGACCAAGCTATACACATCAGTAAAAACGCAAAACAACCGGTCGGTGAATGCGCTTATGACACAGATAATATTTCCGCCACAACCGACAGGACAACCGGCTCGTCGGCCAACTGGGAAAGTGTTGGGCTACTCAACGCTCAAAACTCGAAGAGCTCTGGCTCAAACCACAAGTCATCCACATCCGTAAGGCTGAATGATGATGGCTAACAAGCCAGAAACAGTCGCTCCAGTCTGCGTTGCCGCTAGCGCCACACCGTTCTCCTTAAAGGCGCTATGCAACCAACCCTCTAGATTGAACCCCAAGGCACTGCGGACAAGCATTCCCTCCATCGGATGCTACAGATCCCACCTGTGGATCCTCTACGTCCTTCGCGTGCTCATGTTGGCTTTATCTCGTCCCATCATTTGGAATTGTCATTTTAGATGATTCGCCGCGATGGGAGAGTTCCTGGTTGTGTAGGATATACCTGGCGTTTAGAAGGGTGGTCGAGCACCGGAACATTTTGTTTATTGTTCTGAGCTTTCGAACTAGTGCAGGAGTCCATCGTCAGAGATAACAGCGCCAGTCTGGTTTGCCGATGTCGCGCCGAATTCCGCTGCCGTGAACACCACGTGACCGAATAGACCCATACGGGACTCCTGACACTGGTGTGTCGGTCTCAGTGCGAAAGGTTTGCAGGTGACCGACCAGGCCGTTGCGTGAGGCAAATGTGCGCAATGATTGTACTTGCTAATTTGGCATTGTGGAAGCTCTCCTCGCTATAATTAACTTCCTCAGAAACTTATATATATCAGTAAAAATGAAAAGTGTCTGATCAGCGAACACCGCTACAACGTGAATAATATTTCTCCCACAATCGACAGGTCAACAGATGACACCTGCGGAGCATTGCCATCCTTCTCGTGTTTGCTTTTTCCGCTCCATCATTTACCATTGCATTTTAGATGATTAACTGCGATACTGCTGCACCTAGGTCCTCCATTTTGTATCACGCACTCGAGTTCACAGCTCCGCGTAGTTGAGCTGCCGGGATTGACCTCCGCCAATTGAGATCGGGGATATGCGAAGCCAAATAAGAGTGACATTGCGGAACGGAGATGAACAAATCAAACCCTAGTCCTGGTGGCCGTGACCATGCCGTCGGCGCCCACACTACCGCCCTCGGGGATGATTTCCAGGCGATGCCAGGCGGACTCCTCCAGGCCAAGCGGTGGACTGGTCCAGAAGGCCGACGTGCCTCCATCCGAGCCCGGTTCGTGCACAAGGTGGATGCGGTCGGCGGAGGCTAGAAGGTAGAGACTGCCCAACTTGAAGCCAAAGTTGAATGTCGCCAACCGGCTGACGCTCGTGGGTGTTGTTGCGTTCCCCTCGGCGGAATCCGGTGAGGTCTGAATGCGGAACCCCATGCTCAGACGGAATGCGACGGGACCCCTGAAAACAAATGGTGGAGATACTTTGAGCAAAACATTGATAACAACAACTGACCTTTCAGAGAATATGACTGGCAAATAGCTGGCTGAATTATTAAAAATTACATATTTAAATTGTACTCAATACTTGCTAGTAGTATAACAACATGTGAAGTTAAAAAGGGCTAATGGCAGGTGAGCGCTACGGAAGTTAGCCATTACATGTGTGTCCACACATGAGGAGTGAATAACCTCTGTGGGTAAGGCCTTCCACGTTGCAACCATGCTGTTACTGTAGACACATTTGAGGACATTAGCCCGTGCTTTTACTGGGCGTAGTTTGAGGGGACAACCGCGCAAAAAAATTGAGTTAGTCCGACTGAAAAACACATCAGAAATGAAGCAACAGCCCAGTCCATGCATAATGCGGAACGTTTGTATAAGGTCCCCTCGTGCCTAACTGTAGGAAAGGGGAATAGGTAAAGGATCAAGCGTCCCTTGTCGTAGGGTAGTGACCCCTTCACTAAGACGGCCCAAGGTCGTCAGGCCTGTATGGCATACGCCAAACGCGGTCGCATGAATGTTCCAAATATTTCAGAGGAGCCATTTTCGCAAAATACCCTAAAGACCCACCCGATGATTTGCAATGAAGGCATGGCTGATTTGACCACCTTCGTGCATTTCAGTGTTGGTTTGAGCGAAGATGTAATTCAGACACCCAAGTCCTTTTAACAGCCATCTGGTAGCCGTGGTGACAACTATAATGCGTGCGGTAGATTCTGAACCACAGACCTTTGGCAACATCATCAGTAAGGAAACAGCACTTGGTGGGTGAGCTGACTCGAATACTGTCCCTACTCGAAAAGCACTGCTCAGATGGACGGGCGCCTTCGTCGTATCACTTCAAGTTCTTGAAGACCGGTGGTGATAATAATAACAATAATAGTAATAATAATAGCTTGTGCAAAAGTATTACCAAAACAGAGCTCTTACGTGTTATGGAGGACCTCCCTCACGTTCGTGATTTCCCAGAAAGACGACTCGGTCCGGTCGAACCAGGCTGCGGTCTGATGATCTCCAAGACAATTCTGTAATACAAAAAATCGTAAATGCGTAACAAAGACCAAATGAGCATTAACCGAGCCACCAGACATAAAACGACCAATAACTGAAGTGGAAGTCGGATTCCGCCATCCATTTGGCCGGATTACTAAATCACCCCAGCGGTCCTGTTTAGTTTAAGTCATTTACAGAAGGATCTGTGGTCTAGACGAGGCCACAACATCATTCTAATAAGGCAGTGAGTTAGCAAAATCGAGGAGGCGTCAACGAACCCGATGTTTCTGCGTGTAAAAACTTCTAGAATGAATGAACTTTAGTATTAGACACTAAAATTTAATCACCAGAAACGTGAAAGTACCCAAGTCGCAGGTCCTGTTTGCCCAGCCAATGGGAAAACGGAAATGCAGGGCGCCACTTTCAAACTTGGTGTGGGTTGGGAGTTTTGGATTGTTTGGCGCGAATGAACGACAAGGACGATCGAACGCGAGATTAATTTTACCGACCTGCTGATATATGTGGGGGGAACCAAGTAAAATAGGCGTTGAAACGTAATCTTCTTAGGACGCGACTCAAATGTTTCTTATTGAAAAAGCATTTTTAGGTTGCGGAAGAATTGGATTTGAAGTTCTGTATATGCAAATGAAACATCAGCGTGCCTAAGGGTACTGGATAAAAGCCACTAGTTGTTACCTCCCAGAATTCGCCCATCTAGGTTTCAAACCTTGAAGGCAAACAAAATCGCAGAAACATGACTTCGACCTGACTCTGACACTTATTCGTGACCAGAACCTATTTCCAAAGTATAATCATTAGTTACTTCGAAACCTAGTACCCTACCTTAACCTAAATGGCCTATACTAGCCATAAATACAAACAAAGATCATACCGATACAAGCGAAGATGCGAATACCAGGTACTAGCTGGCCAAAAGAAGAAGCAATCGCTGGAAAAAGAGCTTTATTCGCCCGACATTTCGGATTCGCCCTTGAAACCATCATCAGAGACAGTGGCAGAAATGGGTGACTTGTGCACAGGAAGTTGCAGTATTTATAAGATGCAATAAGGGAGCAATTAACCGTGCTCCACTTCATCTAGGATTGTTGCCCGCTGGTGCGCTAATGGCTTGCTAGTCGGCATGCAAGTTGTTAATTGCTGAAATCTCATCGCCCGTGTTGGATGCTGGCGTGATGATTGATCGGCCATCTGGCTCACCGGCATGCGCGCTCCCCGAATTGTCAATTACTTTGGCCAGCCTATGCCTCAGCACGGAATATGAAGTGGGGATGTCGTTGTACTTGTCGATAGACTGAGGTCCCGTGAACCATGACTCAAGCAACTCGCGGCTCACGCGATTATCCCCTCTCGCGAGAATTTTGGCCTCATTGAACTTGAATGTGTGGCCGGGTCTCGTCGAATGGGCCGCGACCTGAGAGTTGACGTCATTTCTCCGTACCCCTGCCGCGTGTTCCGCAATTCGTGTCCGGAGCAGTCTTCCAGTTTCTCCGACGTAGTTGCTTTGTCCGCAACTGCACCAGGTCCGGTAAACGACTCCAGATGTTTCTTGCCGTGGCGGTGGGTCTTTTGGTCTCATCATCTGACGCCTCATGGTGGCCTCCGGTCTGTGTGCAATTGCAAACCCAAATGGGGCGGGAAGGCGACTAGCGGCCTCGGAGACGTTCTTGATGTATGAGATTGCTCGCCAAAATTTTAGTGATGAGATTTCATCAATTAACAGCTTGCATGTCGGTCATCAAGCAATTAGCGCACCAGCGGGCAACAATCCTTGATGAAGGGGGGCGCGGTTAATTACCATAGGTATACGGTAGCATAACGACTGCATTTTATAAATACTGCAACTTCCTGTGCACAAGTCACCCTTTTCTGCCACTGTCTCTGATGATGGGTTCAAGTGGCGATCCGAAACGTCAGGCGAATAAGGCCCTTGTTCCAGCGATCGCTTCTTCGTCAGATCGAAAGTCATACCCTTGTCCAAGACCTAACGTGAATATAACTCCAGTCAATGCTTAGACACCACGAAAGCTACAACACCATATCCTATCCCCTAACCTTGGTTTAAGCCGTACTCATGATGTAACGTCACCTCAGGGTCACCTAGCCATCGGGAATTCGCACGATATTGTCGTTGATCGAACTGTCAAACACGATACCGATATAGAGCCCTTTGAGGAGAACTTAGATCACGATTCAGCATCCCCATCAGACTGTTGTCTTATATAAATTAAACAAAAGTACATTCAGCGTTCTTTTAGATTGCGACTATCTGGTTATTCTTCTCGGTAGTCCCATCTTGAGATTGCTCCGGTTTCTAAGCATCGTCTCTTTGTCTATAATGCGTTAGATGACGCACAATGCGAAGTACGTTCGTTTACCAATTACGTAAATTGGCTCTTACCCTTCAGTCTGACCGCCATTATTTATTTGCATTTAGCAAGCAGACTTTAAAGCCCTTTGGAAATGTTCTGAAAACGTTGTTGCTTGTTTTTTTTTAAAGTCTAGATCATTTAATTCTGAACGGAATCGACCAATTATCTTAATCTCGGGCAGTTAGGAAGTCAAAATAAATTGCAGAAAGACCTATGGATGAAAAGTATACACTTATTAAACGCGAAAAATAGGCAAGACATACACGAAAGCAAAAACCAAGAAAGAAGCAGAGAGAAACTCATTCACCAAAGCAGTAAGTTCAAGTTTTCAGTCAGCATGTGATCCGTTATTCGTGAGTTCACCATGGCCAATCCCGCGACACATGGCATGAGAAGCATATGTGACATAGTAGTCAATATAGGACCATGATTCGTGTCTTCGTGAGCTAATCTTAGCCCTTAAAGTAAACCTTAATGCCCTACCCCAAAATCTCTAAGAATAATGCCGTCCATAAAGGTCTAACCCTGTCCTCAAAATCCGAACCGTAACATTGATCTGCAACTCCTAACCCTAACTCTAACCTCGACCTTAAAATCCTGACCGTAACCTTAAGTCTCTAATCCCAAAATTAGACCTCTAACCCTAATCCCATTCTTAATTTTAAAACCCCAACACTAGCTCTAGCCTTACAATCGTATTTCGAAAATTATTTATTCTTAACCCAAGTCCTTTGTTAACGTTGGCAAGGCATACCTAATTAAATAAAAGACGTAGGTATGTTTTATGCCAACGACTATGTGGGGCTACATATGGTACCGTCGCCCTAACATGACCCGCCAAAAAGGCAGTCATGATCAGCAAACCATGGCCTTCGCAGCCTGGACCGTTTTACTGTCGATTGAAAATTGATTCCCCAAAATGCCCGTAAACCCAAACAGTCCATCTGTAACTCTCAAGGCCGACTCTGACATTATGCTTTCTTATTGCTCCCCTCTGCGAGAGCTGGTTTCAGGAAAGTAACGTGAAAACAATATATTTTACTGTCCTTACTTTCTTAACAGTGATTTCTTTTACAAACTCAAGCATGCTTTTAATAAAATCTGTTGTTTAAAATCGACGAAATTGGCAGTATAGTAAAAAGTTATCCAGTTTCTTCCATTTTTAAGAAATTCTGAACAATTTGTCGTTCCATATGCATTCTTGTTGATCTTTAGTAGACACACTTAGCAGACGTGGATGAACTGACGTTTACGACAGCGACCAGTGGAGTTAAGTGTCAATGTTTTTTGTTAAGCTGATTGCCTAAACGAATTCTTTTTAAACATCAGTACCTGGGATCGCGCCACCACCACCACCACTACCACCGCCACCACCACCACCACTACCACCACCACCCCCCATAAAACCCATTTCGACTAATTGCGCCGTTTTTTGGCCGTAATCAGGTAGCCTGATCGATGAAAAGCGAGGCGAGGGATGTCCTCCCGTCACGACAGCAAGATGCATGTTTTGTTTCACTCTGTCGACAAGGCTGGAAAGTACCATTTGTTTATCTTGCAGCAGTGTTTTTGAAATGAGGTGGGCGGAGAAGAGGAGGCTTGACAGCATAGTCAGCTTTCAGAGAAAAGTGGCGAGCTGGGGAAAAGCCTGTACGTTACCCTAGAAGTACTCCACGCTTAATTACTAAATAGACCCTTTTAAACAAACACAGTGCCTCCGATTGTTTGGAAAGTGCCTTCCCAAGAACTCAGCCCAAAGGAAGTACAATCCAAATCGTAGCCAGCTTAGAGATCCGTTTCCAAAAAGGCTGTTTAGTATTGACTGACTGGGGTGCGTTTACATATCTATCGTACCAGCTGTGACATTTCAGAAGAAGTTCCCCAAGAGCCATGTAGAATTTAATCTACTGCATATATATTCGGAGTTGTAGACTGGATAATATTTTCGGTCGGATCTTATTTCATAGCCGCACCTGCAATAGACAAGCCTCAGTTGCCTGTCATACGGGACCCGTGGTAAAAGGGGGTTTAACACTAACCCCCTAGCCCTAACCCCTAAACCCTAACCCCAACCCTAACCCCCAACCCTAATCCCTGACCCTAACCCCTAACAGGTGCGTCTACAAAATAGGATCTCACCGTATGTTCGTCAAACGAGAACTGCAAATACAAAACGCCCGATGGAAATCTTTTCAACATTCACTTCCATAAGGGCACAACATGGATGTATCATAGTAACATCGTCGTAAGTGGTCAAATGTGCTCGGTTAAACTGTTGCCGACAGCCATCATGACCCTGTCTGGCGTCCTTGTTCAAGGCCCCGCTAGTTCAAGGTCATATGCCTTCGCGGTTCTGGACGCGCTGACCTGCAGCCAGCCCCCGAGGGACTTCAGCTGGGACGCAGCTGCCCATACGCCACTTGAATACACCATCCTCTCCGCCTGCGGATACAATACAAGCCATCTGAACACCAACATTCGACAAATCAACGCACATACACCAATTGAGCCCCACTTCAGATTGGATCACAAACCTACAAAAGCAGTGGCCGCCCCTGTGTAACGGACTGTCGGGCATGACTGGACGCAGTCGGCGCCAAGCGGGTGCGCTCGGTAGTCCTTGGAACGTCCTTGTTGTATGGCAGAGCATGTCATATCACGGGTGGTGTTCTCGCGGATGACGAACATGTAGGTATGGGCTTTCATCCCTGAGCAAGCGGCATGTATTCGCAGCAACTACTCCACCGACCAATAATGACGTTTTCGACAACAGTTTGAAATGGAGAGGCAAGGTAAGTTTGGACGGGGGATTGTACCTAAGGGAGACGAAATCGATGATGACCAACCAGTGGATGTGGACTATGTCGTATGATTTTTACGGGGACATAAATAAACGTAGAGTCACGATGCCATCTCAATGAACATTTTTAAGGTCACGATTGAGAACTTGTTGAAACCGAAATATAACCCATTTGAAGTATGCAATTTAGAGAAGACATGCTTTCCTATCAAATGAGTACGAGAAAATACATTTGTGACCACATTTTCTGCAACGTAAATTTCATTGTATTAAGACATCGAGAATCAATGGGAAAAATTATGCCACACAAGTAGTTATTTCTTACTGAGCGCGATTTTTAAAGGCGGTCGAAAAGAAGTGTCTTCAAAAGCTGGCATCCGGACATGGCGGACATGCCTGATAATAAATATCACGATTACATTTAAGTGATCCTTCTGGGTCATAAACACATTTGATGGGATCAGTCACAGATCGGATTTAAAAATCAACCTCATGCATGAATGTCTGCTTAACGCAAATGAAATAAGTCCCGCACTAGACGTCGATGCAAATCGAGTAGGTCTGCACATCATGTCTAGTTCCGGGTACTTTATTTGCTTGTTGACAGAGCGGGAGTAAAGACAAACTAGCGGAAGATAGCAGAAGGAAATGTACCGGCAGAAAGATGCCCGATAGTTCAATCCAACGTGATAGTTCGATTATCGTTGCCAACGATGCCCACCGTGTGCTCCACAACAAGGTAAATTAGGCACGGTGACTTGCGCGTGATTTAGTTTATAGTGAATGTAGACTTGCGCAGCATCTAACGCACTCCCTCCTCCTCCCTCACCGGGACCCGGTGTCAAGACAGAGTTAAGAAGACCGTAAGCGCGGGAGGGCGATGATCGATGGCACGGTCGAGTCCGCGTCCTGGCGTTCCATTCAGCACCCCCTAGTCTACACATCAAATGACCAGGATTTTAACTAAAAAAAACACAGAAGGGGCTGTTGAGTGAATCCTATGCACCATCTTCTTAGCAGTTTACAGAACTGTGCAGTTTCCTTAAATGGAATGTGTGTAGTTTGCAGTTTGGAAACCCTGCAAACGACTTCAACAGCGGGTCAAGTTCGAAGTTAAGTGAAGAAAAAGAGTCGAGCACCGGAACACTTCGTTTATTGTCCTGGGCTTTCAGACTCGTACAGGAGTCCATCGTCAGAGGTAGCGGCAGCAGCAGAACAAGCGACAGTTATAGGGCATGCAGGCCAATCATCGACCGACGACGCAAGACTGGAGGTGACTACGCAGGACTCTGCACGCCGGCGCCAGATCGATAAATCGATTGACCGAGTTCTCATCCGAGGCCCAGGCTTCAATCAATTTTCGGCCTGTTTTGTTTCCGGTGTGGGCAACTATTTTGATGGCTGCGAAGTCAAACTCTTGACCCATTTCGTAGGTGTGAGCGGCGGTGTGTTTAAGTTCGAAATTATTTGACAATTCAAGTTATGTTTTGAAAACTAAAAAATGCGCCTCTGAGGGCAAGAACTTTGAAGAATGCGCATTATTCCGCAACATGTGCACAAAAAAATGTTTTTATGCGTTACTTCTATAAAATATACGTTTGCACTTATAAGGGCGTCGAAAGTCAATGGAAAACACTCAAACTACCTATCACGTCACAATGGCAGAGGGAGGGTGCACACCGTGTTACGGGACTCACTCGTCCCGATTGCAACGAATAGGACAACGAGCGCCTGGTTCAATAATTAGGGCGTTGGACTTCTACTGAACAGGCCGCAGGATCGAGCCCCAGGTGTTCCACACCTCAGGGCTGGGTATGGCCATTCCAGTCTCTCCTGTTATTATGCCCCTATTGACACGTCCCTTTATAGCGCGTGTAATTTACGCAGGCGGATAATAAGCGGGGCATTTAAAAACCGGTTATTTGGCATAACAAAATTATCTTAGCATCATGCTGCAGGCGAGACAGTATTACAACTTCCAGGTAACCCATCCGGTCGGACACGGGGATACGGATCTTCCCGGTAGTACTGGTGGTCTCGCACTAAATTCAGGGGGGTTCCTACTCCTATGTCATGGCTTTAATCATACTCTCAACTCTAACCGTAGCACTAACCAATGTAACCTTAATTTATCACCTCCTAACCTTAAGCCATATTCTCTTGTCTAACCAGTTATCCTTTGTAAGCTAAAACACTTTTAAGATTTCGGCGAACAGGCTCATGAGACATGTCACTTACTGTCCCACTTCCACTGCATTAAATATAAAACTCGCGCTGGTATCCCAAACACTCATAGGCCACTTTTGTATCATAATTGTACATACATCGTAGCGCACGCTAAGTTAATTTTTCTCTTGTTTAATTCAGTTCACTGCTGGGTTATGCTTCTGGTGTGTAGCGGATAAAAGGATAAGGCTTCCAAAACCTGATGTCCCTTTTAAGGCCTCGGTTCGTATCAGTGGAATTAATTTCATGTGGTCAGTTGCTTGTATGTGGTCTCACAGAAACGAACTCCAACTCTACAGGCCCGGGCGTAATTTGCCAACTTCGGTAGGTAACGTCGCCAAATCAATTAATTTGCCGGCGAGTTTGCTACCTCACCTACTTCATTGTACTGAAACGCTCCCTAAAAGCCACGGCGAAATTTCCCGGCAATGTGTACTTTGCTTAATTGCGTTTGCCAATTATATCGGGGAGTGCGTCAACCACTGACAACTTGACTAAGAAACTCATGGTAAGTGGCGTGCTCACGGGTCATGCAAAGGGCTTTTCATTGGAGGAGTGGGGGAGGAAAAAAGAGAAACGGTCCGTTATGCCCACAACTGTTCTCCTTCATCTTGAAGGTCTCTGCAAATGAGAACATCTCTATAAGGTTGCAGGAAAAACGGAAAACGAAACCGCTCTCCCCCCCTAGGCTTAAAATGAGCAGTGGTTGGACCTTGGCCCAGAACAAAGGACCTCAGATAGCTCCGCAACATCCGGCGACTGCGCATTGAGTGGACAAAGGCAGGTTGACTGCCTGGAGAGATTTGATGGCCCACTGAACAACATCAGAGGCCTGCTGCCCGCAGACGCGACTAGATTGTTCTGCTTGCGCCCATCTTCCTACAAAAGGGCTAACAACTGACAGCAAACATGCGCCTGTCATGCCGGTTAGGGCCACGGAGCAGAGAGAGAGAGAGAGAGAGAGAGAGAGAGAGAGAGAGAGAGAAGTAGAGAAGAAGAGAGGCAGCAGATTGTTAAGCCTACTGGACGAGACCTTCCTTCTCTACACTAAGGCTGCAGCCTTTTTGGGCTGTCGCGCCTCGTGCACTGGGCTCCCACCTGATAGGGCAGATCGGTCTACTTCAGGATCGATGAGTGGTCTGCAAGTTCTTAGCGTGATCTTGTAGACCCTCAAGCACGTATGAGACCGCTGCCCTTGGCACCTATGCCGCGCCGAGTCATGCGATCATGGCTCCAGAGTGGTAGGAGGGTAAACGCTTGCAGCTGCTGGGGAGCCAATGACAGACTCGGCAATTACCCAATCAAATCATCCAGTTCCGGGCGCCTGTTGAAACGCTGCACAGCTTTTCCAACTTTGGCTATTGATAGACTCTTAACGCGTTGCCGGTTATCCACCGATACCACGGCGCCGCGCTGGCCACCTTCTAACTTTAATCCCATTGGTTATTGCAAGACTGCCATATATGTCAGTTTGCGGCCTCGATCATCCTAGTGGCTAATCCTCTGCGTTATCCTACTTTTCATTATCATGCATACTCTTACCTATTGGTCTATCTATCAGACCTAACCGCATCGCCCGAAGGCCCCATAAATGCCGAGGTCAGTTTATGTCCGGACAGCTTGGACCGGAGAACGCCTCCCCGACGCCTCTACTCGTCATCACCGTCTGATCAACCAAGGGACGTCTCTATGCCAACCAGTACCTGCCAAAAGACCTCACCGTGTTCCCTATGCTGTCTCAACTCCAACCCATCTTCCCGTCGTCCTAAATAATCCCCAAATTTCCCCCTCTGCCACAGTCTTGTGTACTTATTGGTGTTCGAATAAGAGGGTTTCGACACGTGAAGAAGGAGACACGATCGCTGGGACAACAAGAGCTTTATTCACCTGACGTTTAGGATCCCTTCTCAAACCAATCATCAGAGAAAAAAACAGATACAGGGAGTTCATGCACAAGGGGCTGCAGTACTTGTAGGATGCAACCGCCATGCTACCGCGTACCTATGAAACTTCACGGCTCTCCTCCCCTTCGTCGGGGATTGTTGTACTTGGTGTGATGACTGTTTTATGGCCGGCATTCGCGCCGTTAATAGCAGAAATTTATTCACGGGTGTTGGACGTTGGTGTGATGACCGCTCAATCATCTGGCCCACCGATCCTGGCGCTGCGAACAGTGTTTGCCAGTGTGCTCCCCGCGTGGCCAATTACTCCGCTATGCGAAGTCTCAGCCCCGAATATGGAAGGGGAAGATCATTGCACTTGTTAATAGACTAGGGGCCGGTGAACCATGACTCAAGCAACTCACAGCTGACGCGGTTGCAACCTCTAGCGAGAATTTCAGCCTCGTCAAATTTGAATGCGTGGCTGGATGTCGTCGAATGAGCCGTAACTCAAGAGCTGGCGTCATTTCTCTGCACTGTTGCCGAGTGTTCGGCCATTCGCGTACGGAGCAGTCTTCCAGTCTCCCCGACGTAGTTATTTTATCCGCAACTGCATCAGATCCGATAAATGACTTCAGGCGTTTCTTGCCGTGGCATTGGGTCTTTCGGTTTCGTTACCTGATGGTTGCCTCCTGTTTGTATGCAACTCCAACCTCGAGTGGTTCGAGAAGGCGGCCGACAACCTCCGAAATGTTCTTGACATACGGAAGCGCTCGCCAAAATTTGGTGCCCGTGCGGTTAGGCCCTTTGTCTCTTTTGAGTATGCACCGGTTGAAGAATTTGCGCAGGTAGCTATTGGCTTTGAAGACCCATCGAGCGCATTGTAGTTCGGCAATCCTCTCTTCCGCTTCACTGCTGTGCGTTTCTACATGCCGATAGAGCGTCCTTACACAACTGAATTTGTTGCTGACTGGGTGGTTGCTGTTGAAGTTTAGTACTTGCATCGTACTTATCGCCTTCCTGAACACTTTGGTCTTTAGTCCACCGCAATCTTTGCGGCATACGAGGACAGCCAGGAAGGCCGGCTGGTTGTTCTCTTCCTCCTCCATCGTAAATTGCATGTCCGCGTAAGACTGCATTGAGAGGTTCTTTGAATGTCAACAGTTGATCTCGGTCGATAACGACGATGGTATCATTCCATTACCGGGCCCAGAACCTTGGTCTGCGGTGTAGGTAGGCCAGCCACTAGCCGCTGCAGGATCGCCCTTACGATGAATCTCAAAATCGGCCAACTCATTGGCGTGCCCTTCACCCGCTCGTAAATTGTCTCGTCGACTGCAGCCCCTTGAGCATGAACCACCCCTATCTGCTGTTGTCTCTGACGGTGGATTCGAGTGGGAATCCGAAACGTCCGGCGAATAAAGCTCTTGTCCCAGCGATCGTGTCTTCTTGTTCTTTAAGGCTGCTTTCTGGGACTCGTCTCTTCGCTTCCATTAGTTTCGACACCTAGCACGCTCGGGCCGTCTACAGTACATCTCATGTGCATCAGTGGCGTTCTCGGCCAATCACGGTTCTGCCAAACAGCCAATCACCTTCAAGGCCGACCAGGCGTGCTCTCGCTCGAGGTGCTATGACGCATCCCCCTTGTTAACTCGGGACGCCGCCCTCGCGGCGCCGGACATGTTATCTCTTTCGGCTCTCAGCTTATTTCAGCTCGTCCTCCGACTGGCGTCGAACACCTCTATCTTGGAATGCGGAATCGCACTTGGAATACGGAATGCCATCATGGATGCCCTGGATGAAAAAAGACAGTGATGCCATAGAGCAGGTGCAACGACGGACCACAAAACTAGTGGACGGTCTCAGGACTCTGTCCTACCCAGAAAGACTGATCCAGTTAAATATGTTCCCCGTATCCTATAGACGAATGAGGCGTGACCTGTTATGGACATACCGCATTATCCACGGTCATGAATGTTCGCACAAAACTGAAGACTTCTATGAATTCACGACCACGAGTCACCTGCGCGGTCACCCGTACAAAGTCAAGTGGGAGCGTACACGCCCAGACAATCGAAAGTTTTCCTTCAGCCAGCGTGTTGTTCGACCGTGGAACTCCCTCCCAAGTGAAATAGTGACATCTGATACAGTGGATGTATTCAAAAGGCAGCTGGATCGTTTGATCTTTGATAAACGGCGACCCTCACTACAGGACTATCTGCGGCCAGCCATAAATCTCATTTCTTGGTATCATCCTTACTTAACACATCCCTCACATTTAATGAAATTTTCTCTCCCAAACTATGCAAATGACTGCATTTTATGGTGATTGTATATAAATGCACTTAAAATTTCACATGTACACTGAAAAGACCGCCTGCTGCACCTGTCGCACTCCCGCGCTGTGAAACGTTTTCCGCAAACAAATATGTTACTGACAAAATTTTAGTACGATGTACATATATCAGTTATATTTTATGTACCGTTTTCAATGGGGTCATCAAGGGCATTGCCCATTAACCTAAAATACACTATTATTATTATTATTATTATTATTATTATTATAAATCTATTCGGGACTGGGCCTGAAGGTCGTGCTGTCTAAGTCCTGTCTAAAGCCTTAGCTACTGCGGCATTACTTAACTGCAATAACCTCTGGCAACTTCCACCGACGAGAGGTCTCAATTGAGTGTTGAGTGCGGAGCTTTACGCTGGGTCAGCCACTATGACGGAACCACAGCAAGGTGAGAGCAGGGACGGTGACTTGCGCACGTGGGCGAGGTTTGATCCTGCAGCCACACTTGATTTATACCATAAAGGTAGCTTCTTAGAGAAGTTTTAATTGACATGTCTAACTTGGCCACTGGCAGGATTAGGAAGGGAGGTAGAGCGCAAGCAGAGGTCGAAGTACGTGTGAACCGATGCTTCGTGTAACCGAAGGTGACGTGTACACTCCCCCATCCCCGACACAGCCATTCGGTAGATCAAGAAGATAAGGAGAGTGCATTCACAACTCGAAGGCCACGGAGGGAATCGTGTCTTAATTAGCAGTGCATGGTCACTATGGCGAAACTGACGTAGTTCCACTCCGTCCGAACAATGTCATTGGCAAGTCTACATATTCAGCCACTCGCCGGACCAAGATAATAAAGAGGTCGCAGACACGGTTCGAAGCACGCGCAGGGGCGTGAGTGTGAACTAACGCCTGATGTAACCGAGGCTGGCGTATAAGCACTCCCCAGGATTAAAGTAGTAAGGAAGGCGCAAACACGTGTAAAGTCAACGTAATCGCACCTACTTAAATTGTTTTAGGAAGCAAAGCATATGGCATCAGCCAAGGGGGACTGCAGGGCCAGGCCTCGTCGCGCGTGAATTCGGTTACTATTGATGATAGACTTGCGCTGCATCTACAGCACTCTCTCCCTCCCTCCGCTGTCTGGATCCGCTTTCAAGAGAGAGTCGAGAAGACCGAAAGTGGGGGGGGGTGGCACAGGTTGTTGACAAGGCGAAAACCCGCACCTAGGCGTACTGCCATTCCCCCTCCCCCCTAGTCCACAATATGGCCCGACCAGGACGGGGGCGCGGCGTGAGCCCTGACCTGGGCGTGTCACCACACCCCCTACGTGTGTGACAACGGATGTGGTTGCGCAGCCCCCGGTAACTCCAACTGCGTCCAGATCTGACCGCCGTGTTTGTCCACCGCGTGGCCCCTTTTAGGGGTAGTCATGTAAGTAGGCATGAGAGTACGCCACGCCCAGTTTTAAAACAGTGATAGGGATCATTTGGCGTTAATTGAGTAGTTTTAGCTGCCTGGAAGTGCACGGTCATATTCTGAAGGTGGGGTAACTAACTACAAGCACCCGTCTCTCCGCACTTGGCTAGCATGTAGAAGCTGGATGCACGGAGTTTAACGTAAGTAACCTGCAGCCAAACTGTGCATTCTGCACTATAGTGAAATTAGTTGAGACTAGGCCATCTCGTTTTAAACTACGGGGAACATTCAAATGGTGAATAATTCACTTTTTGCTTACAGACCTACGGCGTTCAACTTACGGACATTCAATTTACGACGGGAGAGGAGGAAAACAATCAGCCGGCCTTCCTGGATGTCCTCGTCTGCCGCAAAGATTGTGGTGGCCTAAATACCAAAGTGTTCAGGAAAGCGACAAATACGACGTAAATACTGAACTTCAATAGCAACCACAAGATCAGTCACAAACGCAGCTGCGTAAGGGCGCTATACCAGCGTGTTGAGACGCACTGCGGTGAAATGGAAGACAAGGTTGCTGAATTACAATATCTTCGACGGGTAATGAGAGCCAATGGTTATTCGCGCAACTTTTTCAACCAGTGCATACAAAAAAGACACCAGATACCAAATCCAACTGGCCCCAAATTTTGGCGGGCTCTTCCGTACGTGAAGAACGTCTCGGAAGCCGTCAGTCGTCTTTTCACTCCACTTGGAGTTGAAGTTGCACACAGGCCGGAAGCAACCATTAGGCGCCAAGTAATGAGGCCAAAAGACCCGCTGCTATGGCAGGAAACGCCTAAGGTTGTTTACCGGATCTGGTGTAGTTGCGGACAAAGCAATTTTGTCGGAGAAACTGGGAGATTACTGCGTACGCGAATTGCCGATCCCGCAGCAGCAGTGAGACGGGGAGACGCTAGCTCTCAGGTGGCAGCACACTCGACGGGACTCGGCCATGTTTCCAAATTTCAGGAGGCCGAAATGCTCGCAAGGGGTGACAACCGCGTGAGCCGCGAGCTGCTCGAGTCATGGTTCTCAGGCCCGCAATCCATCAACAAGCACAATGACCTCCTGGTACCCTATTCCGTATTGCGATTTTCCCTGGGCAGGAGAATCAGACTCGTCGGGAGGGCGCTGGTGTGCAATTATCTCGGTGACAGTGAGCCAGTTTGCCGAGCAATCGTCACACCAGCATCCAGCACGGATGACGAAATCGCGGCCATTAACGACTCGGACTCAGGCCGCCAAGCCACCGCCGCATCAATTACGACCGCAGCGGCGATTGCGAGAATGTTATTTGCAGTGCGCACACGGTCCCACGGCAGCCACGCGCTATAAATACTGCACTCCTGGTGTCACGATCACCTTTATCCTCGAATGTCTCTGATGATGGATTCGAGTGAGAATCCGAAACGACAGGCAAATAAATTTCTTGTTCCAGTGATCTCATCTTCATCTTCTGAACTGCTACCTGGGACTCGCCTGTTCGCTTCTATCAACATGCTCAACCCTCAGAAAGATGACCACGAGCGTCATCCATGGCCCATGCGCTTGTAGCATTCTGCCCAGCTGGTTGTAGGCGCGGTCGTTTACTCGTACATCTTTTCGACCCGCCGAACGCTCCTCACCAACCAAATGCTTGAACTGCGAGTGACTTGCTCCTGGCGTGGCGACAGTTTGGCTTCTGTCGACGTAACTCGCTGTGCTGATTGGTTGGAGGCCGAAAAATCCCAGGCGCATGCATGCACTTCGCGTCAACAACTGGTGCTTGGCTCGAGGGGGAAGTACTGCCATTGGCTGTTGGGACGCCAGTAGGCTCTCTTGCAGCAGTAAAGGTTGTCCAGCAACCGTGTCTGCGCTGACATCTTGTCAGCCGGCCTACCTCGGTAAACTCACCTAACTTTTTACGCGATTTTAGTGTAAAGTACCACAGCAAAGCACAAATTGACCGTTACAAAGACGCTTGGCGTGCGTGCGTGTCAGTAGGCGCCAGACCGAGACTCAGCGTTGTGAAAAACGTCTCATAATTTAGCGGGTAGTTACTTTTTACGGCCTTTATAATCGGAAAACGGAAATAATTTCCCAGGTTAACAAAGTTGCGAGGCTCGGGGTGACGGTCTGAGAATGAGAAAGGACTCACCGGGGCAGATTTGTGGAAATTATGACGCCTCAAATAGTTTGGTCGGTATTTTCTGCGAAGGCATAAAATTCACAAATCGAACGGAAATGTAAATAGTGTGCTGAAGTAGTCGACCTTGGGCGGACCGACCACTTGCTTCGATGCCTTGGCCCTATGAAAGGTGTTTGACGGGCTTGTCACCTATGACTGGCAGCCACACTGATGAAACATACAGTAGATGTGCCAACTCATGAAATGTCAACCAAAATTTCGAAATGCGTTCTCGTTTCGAAAAGACAAATAAAGTAGTGTTGTAAAACTTATCATGATGCAGCATAAATCTATAATGATCCAGTTACCTCAGGGTGTCGGCTTTCGAAAGAATTTATTTTCGGCTGCATGTAAGATCTATACTCTGCAAAAAATGACTACTTAAGTAGCATGCCATTTTCTCATTGATTTTCGATGCCCTTGAAAATTCAATTATATTTCATGGAAAACATGCATAAAAATATCCATTCTTTTACTCATTCGTAGAAAATCACGTCTTCTTTCGATTTAATACTCGAAAGAAGAGTGTAATTTGGTTTTAAAAAATTTTCTGATTCCCGAATAATGTTGAACCCGAACTGCTGTTACACCTGCATTCAGGGTTTCAAAACTACAAGCTGTATATTTTCCGTGTACGGAAAACCATGCATTTCTCTACGGTGTTAAGAGGAGACCATATGAGGTTCATGAAATTAAGCAGTGGATTTGAGCAATATTGTTAACTTTACAAGCCACATTCGTAAATGCAGATACATGACGTTTCATGAACGGTCATTTAACGGTATTAAAAAATCTCACAATTAGAAACTTTTTTAAAATCGAATTATACTCTTCCTTTGAGTATGAAATTGGAAGAAGACGCGATTTTCTACCGAATAAGTAAAAGAATGAATATTTTTATGCATGTTTTCCATGAAATATAATTGAATTTTCAAGGGCATCGAAAATCAATGAGAAAATGGCATGCTACTTAAGTAGTCATTTTTTGCAGAGTATAGATCTTGCATGCAGCCGAAAATAAGTTCTTTCGAAAGCGGACACCCTGAGGTAACTGGATCATTATAGATTTATGCTGCATCATGATTAATTTTACAACACTACCTAATTTATCTTTTCGAAACGAGAACGCGTTTCGAAATTTTGGTTAACATTTCATGTGTTAGCACATCTACTGTATGCCCAAATGCGGCTGACTAGTCCGGATGGCCTTAGGGGTTGCAAAGGGTACTGTTGCTATCGACGATGTCCGCCGTGTGTCCTACAGCATGGCGAGCATATGGACGGGCACTTTATCTCCTACCTCATCCACCTGGGTTTGATTTTAAGACAGGGTTTAGAATGCCGGACACGGGATTGGGCGCAGCGGCCGGCAAAGCTAAATAACCCATTTACGCGGACCACGCACGATGGGCCAGGTTTTTGTCCAACAATTCAAAAACATACAACACCGTCCTCGGCCAAAACCCTTTCTAACCCCACCACCATCTGCACTCTACCCGACACCCTCCATACCAGCCTTCACTCCCCATCCAATACAACCCCCGATCCTACGTCATGGCGACAATCTAACCCAATGGATCTCTTAAACAGAGCCTTACTTGGATTCGGTCCCCGACAACTTCAGGATGACCACGCTTATGTCCCTTCTCGCCCCTGAACTCGAATACAAGGTAGATGGGTTGGCAGCCTCTCCCTTCTGCTCATTCGAAGAATACTTTGGGGCCCTTCGACAGATAAACTGATTATTGTATCAATTTCGAAAATATGGCAACGAAAAAAACCTCTTCAGGCTGCTGACAGAATACTAAATTTTCTGGATAATCAAAGAATAAACTACACATAGATTTAGGCTTTCCCCACCATTCACTTCATGTTTTATTATTAAAATGTGTCCTACACGCATATTCTCCATGTTTCCTGAATTTCAACGCACACAATGAAAACCCTCTTATCCATTTTTACAGTTGTTTGTCCACGCCTGTTCCATTAAAGGCGGGAGTATTTCTCGGCGCTGGAGTGACCCCCGGCTCAACTTGTGCTAATATGGCCCTGGTTAGCTCTGCATTTCCGTTGTGATAAACCGTCGCTTCATTTAGCAACAAACCTTCCAGTATTCAGGTAGCGCATATGTCCTAATGCCGCATCGTGATTTTTTGAATGTCCCTAGCTGTCAGCCGTTTTAGCAACATTGCTAAGCAGTCCCACGGAAAAAGCAGGAATGCTATTCTTAGGTTTAATTCTTGCGTAAAACATATAGGACAATTAGGAAAGTAAAAAGATATGTGTCCTATACATTCACTGAGGGAAATGTGCTGCAGTTTATTCAGGCAGGAAGAATAAGCGGGAAAAACAGGTAAAAACTAGATATTACGTGCAATTTAGGATTTCCAGATGACGCTTCATACTCTGAAACCCTGAATGCAATTCAAGTCGACCCGCGTGAACCATTTTTAACACTCGTCGAAGTGAGGGGCTTCTTCTAGGTCAGGTAGCTGTGATGAACTGCGTGAAATGTAACTTTGATTAAGGTACAATAGCGGAGGCCGCGAACGCATGACTGTGTTTTTCCAAAGTAAACAGACTGATTAATAGGTGTTATGGCAAATTTCAAATAATTCACTTTGACCTATCTGAGAAGAACTCGACGTTGAGTTTTTCACAGTTGGGTCAAAGTGAATTAAATAGACTAACTACATACGGAAAAAAGGAATGTTTAAATAATTATATTTTTAGCCGGTTTTCACGAATTGTTTTAATTCAAGCGTTAAGTTTACGGCATCCGCATAAAATTACATCTTGCATAAATCACTTTTAGGGATAAGCTGACTGTGAAAATAGCTGGCTAGCTGACTTTTATAAAGTATGTGAGCCGAAAATCTTTCAGGATGCTCGTAAGATTGAGCCCACTGCATAAAATATGGACGTCCAGTAATTTTGTTTACAATATTTGGGACCCATGCGAGCCCGCACTAAAGCCTCACGTGGAAAATATCAGCTGGCAGTACCGACTGATGACTCTAACGTTTCGGCGGACGCCGTCAGTAAGAGAATATCAGCCGATGATTAACCGCTGGTTTAGGCCGCATTGTGACCAGTAAGGCTTAGTTTCTTTTTTTACAGCGAGTAGGTTTGATAGCTGAAGGGGAAAAGGTGTTTGAATATTTGAGCCAGAGAAAAGAGCGAATCCGACGAGTCCCGTGACAGGCCACCGCTGTACGATTTACAAAGAAAATTATTATAAGTATCGGAACACGGACTTCGCATGAGTTACACGAAAAAGTACAAGAAAGACAGATGATAAGGGGACACACTTTAGGCAAAAATGAGGATACTTTTGGGACGTGGAACTGTGCTAGGTGAGACTTTCTCACCGAAAGTCCCTGGACAAATAAAAAGTAGTCGAGTTATCAAAAGACGGTTTAGAGGCAATGAAAATAAACAAAATCCCTTCAGCTATCCATGCAATGGACAAGATAAAAAAATAACTTTACAGAAGGGCGAAACTGTCTGTAGGGATGCCACAATAGCTCTCGGAAGGCAACTACCTTTGTATTAGGTAGGCGACCACCAGATTTCAGCATTCAATTGGCCCTCGGCCTGGAACGAATGCAAGCACTGGAAGAGAATGCCTGCTTGGAGACACAGAATTGCCAACTACGGAGTGCAATTTCTTCCACCGACAAACATCAGCAAACTCCTGTTATGCAACATATCCCACAACAATCGTGGAGCCGACACAGACAGCGTTGCTATCACTCTTTCTCATGCTCGGTGCAACAGCGACTGTGGTAGAGGCAAAATAATTGGGTAACAGAGCTGAAGAAATACAAGATCACGCGGACCGCAATGATATGAAGGATCCGCTTGCCTCAGTCAATGTGGTCTATGGTCACCGCACTAAAGAAACCACGCCGCTGCTCATTTCTGAGGGACCCAAACTCCTCATGGAGAAAACGCAGATTCTGGAGAGCTGGGCTCTGATCTTCAAAATCGTCCTCAACCGCCCGCCCGAAAACGAATCGGCCAATGTCTCCAAAATGGAAACCAATGGCGCCATGGAACGCCCGCTTTACCCAAAGAAACAATCAAAATTTAACAGGTCTTATTAGAAAAGCATACGACTTCGATGTAATTACGGTCGGAGTCTGCAAACATTGCGACCCGCGGCCGATGAACTAGCTCCCATCGCTGGCCCCAGACGTGTGGCAGCAAGGACATATCCCTCAAAACCCGGTGGTCGCTACCATTGTGCACATCTAACAATGTAACAGGCCAACCGCCAATTCTGTGATAATCAGAAATAAATCTCGGTCTTCATCATTGCCGGTCAGGTCTTACCTGCATGCTCCCCAATCATCACAACAACTGCCTGGAGTATGGACTCCACTCGGGCAGTTAATGTGGATTTTTAAGTGATCGCGGCATCATCGAACTGATTGTCGTGCTTCGGGAAGTGCAGAAGCGCCGTAAGGCATGCATCATCACACCACTGTGAGCCGCGCAGAGCGAACACCTCACACTCGCAGACGCTAACCCTCCACCCTCCCCCTCCCTCTGAGCTCGACTTGAAATATGTTCGCTCATTTAAAAGAAGACGAAGGCACGATCACTGAGACAGTGGATTTATTGGCCTTAGCTTTCGGACACGTACTGGAGTCCATCATCAGAGGCTGCTAGAGTGTAGCAACGCGTGAACATTTGTATCGTTGTTCCGTGCCGTGGGGGACTACGTCTGCGGCTAGGTCTGGTTTGTGCCGCCTGGTCCACGATGGTTCCCCGGCGTGGTAACGCGGTTTGTACTTCGCGGCGATGTGAGCTGCGCCACCTGGCTGCGTGGGCGGAGTGCGTGATAACACGCAGGCAAGTAAATGTATCTATTGATAAAGTTGGTGGTCGACACCCACGCCTCCAACAGTTCTCGCCCCGTCTCGCTGCCGGCTCGGGCCAGTGTCCGCGTGTTGGAGAAGTCGAATTAATGGCCTTCCTCCAGCGTGTGAGTGGCGACTTGAGATAGTGGGTCGCCTCTCCGAACGGCCCGTTTGTGCTTAAGTATTCGTGAGCTGAGACGTCGTCCTGTTTGGCCTGTGTAGTGGCATGGACAGTTTTGGCACATTCTCCTCCTTTCGTGTTCGCTCATTGTTTCTGCGCTTACACAGTCCTTAGGGGTGGACAGATGTAGGGGTTTGAAAGCTCAGACTCATAAACCTACCGTTTCACTGATCGCCTCTTCGTCTTCTTTTAATAATTCCTATTTATGGCCACTCGATAAAACCATTGAAAATCGTGAAGTATTCTTAGTAATTTCAAGAATAATCTGAAACGTACCGTGTTCCAGCATCAAAAGTAACTATAAATAAATTCAACGGACGGAACGATCTCCTAAAATACACAAAATTATATGTTTGGGATTGCTCCTGAGATCGCCATTTAAATTTATCCATTAATGACCGGCCAATCTGCTTGCGCCGCTATAGCGCTCAGCGCGCCAGACATTTCTTGCCATGCCAGTAAAAAATTGCGCGAGGAAAGTTGTTTTACCTCTCTTGTTCTCACCGCTTTAGGCATAGATCTAGCACTGTCGAGCCCGTCTCCCGTAAACTGCCTGCTCGGCTAGTATCCCTAAATGTCGCACATGGAAGCCACCCACACCTCAGCGAAGGCAGGACATAAAATATTGACCTACCGTAGGTGGGCTAACTCAAGCAATGTCAACCGAAATTCCGATATGCTGATAGAAGCGAACAGGCGAGTCCCAGGTAGCAGTTTAGAAGATGAAGATGCGATCACAGGGACAGTCCCAGTGATCGCATCTTCATCTTCTATTCCGATATGCGTTTTCGACTCGAAAAGTTTAATTATGTAGGGTTGTAAAACTAATCATCCTGCATCATAATTCTATAATAATTCAGTTACCACAGGATGCTGGCTTTCGAACGAACTTCCATCCGGCCACATGCAAAAACTGTACTCTGTGAAAAATGACTGCTTAACTAGCATGTATTTTTCTCTCTGATTTTCGATGCCCTTAAATATTCAATTATATTTCATGGAAAACATGCATAACAATAGTCATTCATAGAAAATTACGTCTTTTAATTTTATGATTGAAGGAAAGGTATAATTCGGTTTTCAAAACTTCCAATTCCCGAATAACTTTGAACCCGACCCTCCTTTACATACCGTTTCCAAACTACAATCCGTATATTTTCCGCGTACGAAAACCCATACATTATCCTACGGTATCAAGAGGAAACCATATGGAGTTCATAAAATTCAGCAGTGGATTTGATCTACACTGTAAAATTTACAAGCCACATTGGTAAATGCAGAGACATGGCGTCTATGAACAGACATTTCATGGTATTGCAAATGACATAATTATAAACTTTTAAAGCCGTATTTTACCGTTCTTTTGAGTACAGAATTGGAAGAAGCCGTAATTTCTACCGAATAAGCAAAAGAATGAATATTTTGTGCGTGTTTTCCATGAAATATAATTGAATATTTAAGGGCATCGAAAATCAGAGAGAAAAATACATGCTAGTTAAGCAGTCATTTTTCACAGAGTATAGTTCTTGTATGTAGCCGGGAAAATATCCATTCTAAAGCCAGCATCCTCGACTAACTGAATTATTATAGAATTACACTGCATGATTATTAGTTTTACAACCCTACTTAATGAATCCTGTCGAAAGGAGAACGCATTTCGGAATTTTGGTTGACATTTTGTGCGTTAGCCAACCTTCTGTACTTAAATGACTAAACAGGTGGCCTACGCGGCACATACTGTATTGCGACCTACAAAGAGCTTAAATCCGTCATTACGTCCGATAAAAGTCATGCTCCTCATATCTGTCCTTGACCTTTAGGGGGGGGGAAATCTAGTGTGTTTTGCTGGCCAGGTCACGTGTGGCGCGTGCAGATGCCCACTTGCATTCAATGGCCGGCTAGTTTGGACAGTGAGCTGGCACCTGGGAGGGCAAAGGATGAGTGAAGCCGACATCAGGGACGCCGAGCTCATTGTGTGCAATCTGACGCGGTTTAGAGCTATCACGACCCGTTAACAGTCGCGGATAAGATGTGCTTCTGTGGCCCCACCCGATGGACACAATACTGTTGGGACTGGCGGTTAGGATTGGGATTTAGGCTTAGGGGTTATATTTAGGGGTTAGGGTAGGGGTAAGCGCATCTATTTCTCAAACATTCAAATTACAACCGCGCATTCCCAATAGCTCTTTTTTCGCATATAACTACTTGCCCCTGCCGCCTGTGCGTTTCCCGACCCCACCTGTAAAAAACCCTATCAGCACCGGTCCCGTAGTAGATGTGACTGGGGGTTTTTTAACTTAAGATGGGAATACCAAACCACATTCGGCCCAGTCGCGGCCTGGGATGCTGCTATATGGTTTCACAGAACGAAAATGTAGTCTGTACCGGCTCACCTCCACCGGTTGCTGTTGCCCAAGTCGTGTGTGTGTGGCCCACGTAAACAGGCTGTATTGCTTTTTCCGGCGCCGCGTTCCCTGCTCCGTCCGGTCTTCTTAACTTGCCATAACGCCCGGACAGGCGCAGATGCCACGCGAGTCTGCTATCACTGTAAACCAATTTATGCGTTAATCACCATTCTGCATGTATTATTGTGTCTCATTAGGCGACTTTCTAAAGGATGGCTGACGATCCCAGCGGAACTGATGGAAATAATGCCTGTTTCCAAATCCGGCAACTGACCGATTGCTTAACACGTCCAAAGGTTTAAACCGACTGGAAAATGAATCACCAGGCAGCTGCGATAAATTTGGGAACGCGTAAACCAACTATGGCGGTTTATAGAAAGAAGGGATTTGGGTCTACACTTGAAAACGCAAAAAATCGATTTAAACGTGTTGACATCTGCTCTGAACTAGTTAGAGAAAATAAGAATCATTGAGTTTGCTCAGAGCAACAGTTTAAATTCAAAACTGCGAACGGCAAAGGGGACTTTTGGTCGACCAGATTTAGGCGAACACCGGGCAAAATCGCACTGCTTGAAAACTGCATAACCTTCTATAAAATACAGGCTTATGGTTTGATCTTGGGTAGGATAAACGGCGGTGAGCTAAGTACCGGAGGAGTGTTCACGGTTTGAGGTAGAGATTAGAGTTGCGGTTTCCGAATTCGCATCACTGATGGGACGTCCCCTGTGACTGCTTTAAATTCATTGGCTGTTTGTAGAAGTGCTACCGCCTGTGAGCAGAAAAACAACTCTGACGCTGGCGATTGACCTTGGTTAAACCTTTCCCGTTGATGACCTTGAAACTCACATCTAGTCATTTTTCGAATTTTCTGCTTGAATTTGACTTTTTTGCCGAAAACAGTGGTTTTTACGTATGGCGGCATCTTAAGCACACTGGTAGTACGGATGTGTGTGTGTGTGTGTGTGTGTGTGTGTTACAGCACTGGGAAAATTAGTCATTCGGACATTTATTCGCGAGTAGAGCTACCTCGTCGATGAACATATAAAAGAACGGATTTCGAGCAAGTTTACCAGTACGCGCTGCATATTTCACGGCTGTCACGTGACCATGCAAGGCGACAGCGGCTGCAGTGAGCATGTGCGCGTTCCGATTCCGGCCTGTTATGACGCATACGAGGAGGCATCCGACAAATAAATGGATCTGAATGACGCTGACGACGCGGTATGGCGTATTTGGGTATACTACTTAAATATTTCTTGGTCAGTCAGAGTAAAGCAGCCTGTGGGACCTGTAGGACTCATTGCCGAGTCTGGTCAGCTGCGTAAATCGTATTTGGTGGCAACATGTTCACAAGTGAAATAATCCTTTTCCTGGGGAATAGGTGATCGACTGGGGCGGCGTCGTATGGAGATCTAACGACAAGGACATTTCCTTCCCACCGACCCCGTGTGCTTCTAATGATTGCAACTCATCGACATGCGTTGATGAGATCTGGTTCGTTGTCTCTTGGCCAAATACGATAATCATCTCTCACATTTTGGCCAAGACCAGATTTAGAAGATGGGATTTTTGGAAAATTGATTATTTTCTATAAAGACGCAACAAAAAAATTAATAAATTCAAGTCTGAAAACGATTGGAACGGGCAACGGTTGCGAGAAATGACCGCATTTAATTTAAAACTAGAGTCTATCAATGTTAACTTACTTTTCCAACCTGCGTGGAAGGGAGTTTAGATTGCTTGTCTGGAATTGGTCGCGAATTTCCAAAGTCTCGACACCGGCAATTAGCATATATTAAATATTTCGGCATCATATTCGTCCGCCAAATACTTCCAAGCCTTCAGATGCCCGGTCAGAACCGCTAAGGAGGTAAGTCTCACACATACACCCCTTTTCTCCAAACTCTGTCGATGACGAAGCGCTCTATTATTTGGAAATCTTCAGAGGAGAGGATGTGTGCAACCCAGTTGAATTGCAGGCTCATGTTTTGGACAAGGACACTTTTAGAAGACAGAACTTGGTACGACTGACTATATGAGAGAGGAATAAGCATTTGCACGGAAGGCATGTCTAATATATTACAATAGCACATTGCAGGTAGATAATCCATGTTCACTGCCATGCCGATGGACGCCCACCGTGATGAACGCCCCCCCCCCCCGTTATCCGCATCGCCTACAGGACGAACGGCCACCTCCTCAATCAACGGCGGGTGCACTTCCAATTGCGCGTATCCACAACCACCGTTCACGAAATCCTCATCGTCGACGCTTGCGCCCTCAACACCACCTCCTTAGAGGACATGCAATGCAGCACGGACCTCTTCTACGCCGCCTGCGAGAATTTATGTCTGATCATCAAAATGCAGAAGACGGTGGTCAGGAATTAACCGCCACCCATCAATGCCCACAATGCGTCGCAAATAAGCGTGGACGGAATTCAACAGCAAGTGATGAAAAACTCTACGTATCTGGGCAGCACGCTCTCCAGCAGCACCAAAATCGACGACGAAGTTGTCCGCTGGATTTTCAAGGCCAGTCAAGCCTTCAGTCGTCTTCAAAGTACAGTTTGGAATCGTCACGGTCTCCAACTTAGCATGAAGCTGAAGATGTGAAAGGCCATCATCCTGCCGACTATGCTGTACGGAGCAGAGACCTGAACGGTATATATGAAACAGGCACGTAGACTTAACCACTACCACCTCAGTTGCCTTTATCGAGCATTGAAGCTGAGGCGGCAGCACCAGATCTGCCTCCAACGTGTCCACGGTGTTAACGGACATTCCGGCGCCAAATGGACTTTTTGAACACTTCCGGACCACCACTCCGTCCGCCACTCCGTCGCTTACCGCGCCGGCAATTAACGTTGATCGCCCTCCAGAACCACCACCACCACCACCACCACCACCACCACCACCACCACCATCATCATCATCATCCATGCCCATCAACATTACACACAATCCTGACACACCAACCCCTCCCCTCACTACCAACACCACCAATGTGGACCCCGTCCATACATGTCCTAATTGCAATCACACCTCAACTTTACATCGGCTTAGTCGATCACTTGCGAATTCATCACACAGAGACTGGCGAACCGGAGCCCGGAGCACCAACCTACACTCGCCGCATCCGCCTCCGCTGTCCTCATTGCATCCGCACATTCAGGCACCGCAAGGGTCTGTCAGGCCAAGTGCGCGTACACGTAAACACGCCGGCTGCACCACACCATCACATCCTCCCACGCCATTATCTCACCTCACATCGACATCATCCATCGCAAGCAATTAATTGCCACCTCCCGCGCATGTGGAACTCGGCCTCCGTGAGGCTTCTGCTGCATGGGTGACTTGAGTCTGAGACTATCCCGACACACCAAGCGCCGTGGGTAGGAAGGATGCTGATTTACGCCGCAACGCAGTCCATGCAGTCCGTCCAGTTGTGTGTGTGTGTGTGTTGTGCGGGTTGGCGGACTGGTGGACTGAGTGACAGGCCGATACAGCTCCTTCCAAGGCACTCTCACGCATGTGAGAGATACGCCGTTCAACCCCGTTGTGTGAAATTCTGGCGTTTGTGTTTGGGAGGCCGGGTCTTGTGTGTGGCGCGCGCAGACTAGGTCGCTCGACCATGCCAGCCACCGCGTCAATTCCCAGCTGCAGTCTGCTGACCGGCTCGGACAGAGGCTGAAGTGTGGGAATGGGAAGGGGGAGTGAGCTCGACAACTCAGCGCATTTTCCATCGCACTATAAACAATCTAACGCACTTGAAGCTATCAAGGTGCGCTAAAAGCTGTGGCATGGAAGGCTGCCAACTGACGGGATATCTTAGAAATCTCAGTCATCCCTGTGGTGTGTGTATGTTTGTGTGGAGCGGCCGGCTGGTGGTCTAGGAGTCGCAGTGCAATGGCTCCTTCTTAATGTAGCCTTCATGGCACTTCCACTCTGTGGCATCCGAGCCAGCCGTTGGCGGCACGCCTAGGCGCGGCTTCGGCCATGCCAGCGACCTGCGCCCTCCTCCACCTCTGATCTTGTTAGTTATGTCTTGACACGGGATCCAGGTGAGGGAAGATAAGAAAGTGCGGTAGATGCTTCGCAAGTCCGCATTCACTATCAACTATATCACGCGCAAGTCACCGTCCATGTTCTCATTTTCTTGTGGAGCACACAGTGGACATCATCGGAAACGGCGGTCGAACTGTCGTGTGTCAGCGGGGCACAAACTACCCCCACTGACACAATCTTGATTATATGTGTGGTTTGTTTCTCAACAGGCAAGTTTCCGTTTTAAATTCAACAGTCTCTGATTGGGCCACCGCACCAGGTAGGCCGTCTCATGCCATGGTGAATAAAATAAAGTCAGCGTCAATCCACCTATTCTTCACAACAGTCATCATCCTAATTATCTTCTTGACCTGCCATAACGTTGAAATCGTACTGTTCGGTGCCTAACTCACGATGGGGCGTCGAAATTTAGTAATGATCACTAATAACTCGCAGACCGATGCCAACGTGAGGGCCCAATATCTATGCTCATAGATAAAGTCCACAAGGGAATAAAAACACATGCAAGGCGGTTTGCCAACAACCTACATCCTGAGTGTAGATTCCAAAAGAGTTTACCGAGGCTTCGTGATATTCTTTACGCTTTTGAATTGATTGAGATGCGGTTCGATAATGCAAACAGTATTTTGTTTGATTTTACAATAAGGACGTTGTAGGGTAGGAAGTTATCTCAAAGGGACGTGTAGTCAATGCTTAATAAATTTAAGTAAAGTTGCCAGGTGTGATCGTAAACATACCACTTTACGTACACGACGAAACCTTTTTCCACGGAATTCATTTGTACAGTTTCTTTATACCGGATAACGTTGAGTTTCAGACAGCCCTCGAAATATCGATGAACAATACATGATTTTCATAGTTTCCGATCGATTGCCCATAACGGCGGATTCCGTATTATGTGCTTGTCAAATCCTTTAAAATAAGATTCTTCTTGAAGATACCTATCATATTAGCGACTGTTTAGGCGTTCTTTTTCATGTAGAGTTCGTTTGGGTTACATTAGACGACTCACCCAAACGGAAAACCTCAATGTCGAATAAAATAAACGTCTACAACAGAAGTCTACAACGAATACGCTGACAATAGATTAAAGGAGACATTCTCTAATAAGTTGCCTTTGATATCTTGGACCTTTTGCCGAACGGAAGTGACGGAGAATACGTTAAAAGATGGCCCCGAATGCCAATGCACATATTCTGAAATAAAATCCTTCATGGCAGTCACCTGCCTAACAATTCCCGTGAATTCCCGTAATACTGAATCAGTATCATCTCAATACCGGCTAACAACCACTCAGCGACTGCACCAATTGCACGGTAGTTGAACAAATTGCAAAGTCCTTTCGCGGTTTACCTGACCAAACACCCGGTATCCCCTATGGAACATCGAATGCAAAGGACAGTTGTTCTGATTAATATTACCGGCTAACAACCGCTCAGCGGCCGAACCAATTTCACTGTAGTTGAACAAATTGCAAAGTTTATCTGATCAACCACCCGGTATCCCGTTACCAAAG